TTGTTTTCGTGTGCATTCACCGTGTTGCTTACATGTTAGGCCAGTCCCCCAACAAGTTGAATGTACTGATGGTTTTCGTACTCGCTGTCTCTTTTCGATCGTAAGTTACTTTTTGATATGATTGCACACAATCCGATGCAGAAGTACATCAAAGAGGTGTAGATTTGTTTCGAGTGCTAGGATGTTTTACGAACTGTTGATCGTGCATTTCCTTTTAAAAAAAGAAGGGAGCATGTACCTACCAAGACTGCAACTTAGCTTGCTGCTCTATCTTACCGCACGGCACACATTAGGAATTGACGGTACTAACGAAATGATACTCAAAGCGGAAACTGCCTTAATCCGTCGACGACCCGCTGCCAACAACCACAGTGGCGTTCGTTCCGATGATGACCCGGCAGTCCCGATGATGACCCGGCACTGACCCCTCCCAGAAAGAGGCACGCACTGCGCATCATGAAAAAAAGATAAGCGTTACATACTTTCCCACAAATGAATGCAAGCAACAGAGCAGGATCCACCTACTGTAAGCTTGCCACTGCGCGTTCTGGAATCCGAGCCAGTAAATGGAGAAGACGCAGTCGCCGTTGCAAGACGAGTAATCCACCGGCATCTAATCTTCGGTACAGAATCAACGTCCCGCGCGGTCATTTTGGCGAAAGCTACGACGAGGAGCGGACTCCACACTATGCGCACCCTGACTCGAACAACATGGTGATGTTTCTCATGCAGCAGTTGCCGAATTTGTACAACACGCTCCTCTACACTAAGGTGACTACGTTTCGCACGTACGAGCCCACTGAAGACCCCGACTGGAATCGTTCTGGGTATTTCGTGGAGCCAATGGACAAGTTCTTCAAGTCTCGCGATATTACCATCTCTCCAGTGTTTTCGTGTATTTGCTGGTTAAAGTCAGTCGCTGCGTTGCAAGGAGATGGAGGACTCGGTCGTAATACGAAGTTAACCTTGAAGCACGCGGCAGATCTCACGACTAAATTCGATGTGACCGTGGCTAAGGGAGCAGTTCAGGCTGTTAACAAGCAGCTTCACTGCTTTTATCAGTACTATGCCACGGCTATTCGAAGGTCGGGCCAGGATTCCCATCTAGCTCACACGAACCCGATAGTGGCGGGCCTGATGATGCTGGATCACCATCTCGAGTACCTGGATTTGGCAAGTGAACTGATTGTGGTAACGTCGAAGTTGCATTTCTTTGGGCATCTCTACAACGCGCTGGTGGTCGAAGGGTTTCTCTCGAAGTTGCCGTTTGTTGAGGAAATATTGGATATTTACGATAAAATGATTTTCACGCCTTCCAGAGCTGCAGCTACGCGTGGCGCTTACTACCGCACGTACCTATTGAGTTCATCCCTGAAAGCTACTGCACTAGAAGCAACAATTCGAGGAGATCGCACAGCCAATGGGTCCGGCAAGATGAAGCGAAGACCGGTGTTCTTTTTGAAGGATGTGTCCAAGATATTTCGGCTATTGACTAAGGGCGATACGTCGTTTTTACGGGCTGGTTCGTCGAGGGATTTGCTTACTAGCGCCGCCCGCATTTGCTCAGAAGAACTGTTCGAGACCCGCGTATTGTCTCGAGATATGCTGATACTCCACGATAACCTGACTGATATCTTCTCCGAAATGTGCAACATTTTGGGCGAAGATGAGGCGCGGAGTGTGGACGACGGGCAGCTCGTGACGCTAACTGTGATTCGAGTGTTAGATGCGATGCAGCCGAGTGGTGAAGTAGCTATGAGCGCAATGCCTGGTGGCAATCCGAATCCGTGGGTTGGTGACCGGGTGAATGGTAGGCGTTTCAGAGCAATTTGTACGGAACTAGCCGAAGTGATCCAGTCAAAGTTTGCGATCTCCCCAGTGGACCTCGAACGAAGATACTGCGTGTTCTCATCTTTTTTGGCTATCGAAAAGACGGACGATGAAGCTAGTAGCATCGAACTGCCTTCTACTCCAGTGGATGCTCTAGCTGAGCAAGTCGAACGGATGAACGTGGAACACCCAAGCTTGAACACCGCCGTGAATGCAGGAAAGAAGACGAAAAGGTGCAAAAAGAAAAACAAAAAGAACAAGAAGGGCAAAGCGAAGGGCGGTCAATCAACTGAAGCACCGAGGGCAATAGCAACGGGAGATGATGAGCTTGCGGAAAAATCCAAAATACTAAAGCAGCTACTTGCTGCAGTGGGCGCGGAGATTCCAGCAAATGACGGGCAAATTGGCGTTTCTGTTTTGGAGGACTCCTTGAGACGATCTGCGGCGGCTGTGTTTAATCGTTTGAGAGATACTAGCATCCCTGTGCACTGCAAAGCCGACGATGCGCATCACGCTAGCAAATTCATTGTGAGCTTGCAGGGGCTAGCTACGGAGTTTTCAGCTCCTGACCAGATCACTAGCTCGTCTATTCGCACGCGCAACATGATCTTTGCGGAAGCTTCACGCGTCATTTACTTGATGCAGAGGTTTCATCGAACGGACCACCCTGCTGTCACGGTTCCCGCTCTCACTCCTGTCCGCGAGCTTTGTGACACAAGTCCAAGCTTCACTCAGTTTGTGGTGAATACCGCTCGAATTGGCGTCTCGGTCGACAAAAAGTCACAAGCTCTATTGGAAAAGCGATTGTTCGTTGCTGAAGCGGCTTCACAAAGTTATCCTCTTAGATCTTCGAGTGCTAGTGCAAACTTACTCGAAATCATGCGAGGATATGGGACTGGGGAAAACGTCGAGTCCGGATACCTTTCGTGCTTTGGAGTGGTTTTTGACAGATATGACCGACGATTATGAGCAGCAGAAGACGCTCGATGAAATGGACGGGCAGCCGTTCTATTTGACCTGGTGACTACCGGATCCCAAGACGCCTCCGAACTCGAGGATATGCTAGCTCCTATACCTGGTTTTGTGTGCTACGGAGATCGTATCAAGCATGTCGTATTCGGCGGGCCCAGAGAAGCTGTGACTCTAGGCCGGAAGGTGGTTGTTGCCTTGGCTGAGTCTATCGGCGTCCAGTTTTCCGAGCGCAACTCGTTGTTTTGTGCCAACGCTCTTCGGGTTGGCGACGTCGTGTTCTCGGCAGATGGGGTGGTTCGAGACACTACGTTTGTCAGAGTAAGAGGAAGCTCTGATTTAGTTTGACAAGAGTGTGCCCGTGCTGGCCAAAAGTTTCAAATAAGTGCTATCACGAATGGCAACCAACATCTGCGTAGTGAAATTGCACGATTTGTTTGAAATCACGATATATGAATCGAAAACACGCAAAAATGAGCTCCACAGCACTTGATCGTCGTCACCATGCTTCACCCTCACCATTATATGGTTCATCACGATCGCCATAGCGTTGTTGACCCCACCAGGGCCCCGTCCGGCCAGTTGCTGAACAGTGGTGAGATCAGGTCTTCGCCTGTTGCCTCGCGATCTGCTGCGCCACTCTTTCAGGAAGCCCTCCTGCAAGTTGGGAGATGTCTGACACGGGGTAGTGTAGCTTCAACCAGTTTTGGATCTGGACATCGCTTGGCGTCAATAGTCCCGTGATAGGCAGACGGGCGCTTCGCACGAAGTCGGGCGTGAAGGCTTCCGGGTGGTGCTCGTGTAGGAACAGCAGCACCTCGAACTTGTTCTTGGCGAGAGCAAGCGGGGTGAAGCTCGCAGGGTTGAGCTCGGGAAATCACCGCATCAGCCAAGATGCCACATCCAGATGGCGCTGACCATCGCCTGCTCGAATGGCCCGCCAGCCCCTTCGTCGAGTAGATACTGCATCGCCTTGTTGTTGCCCTTGGCAGCAGGGAAGCACACGAGACTCGAGAGCTCTCTGCTGCGGCCCATCTCGTCGATGACTTGCTGTCCTGTTGGGTGATCCACCAGGAACTTGATTACATCCAAATTGCCGTGGCGGCACGCCTCAGCCAGAGTGTAGTGCCACTGGCCGACCCAGAAGTAGCCGCAATCCAGCTTCCACTCGATG